TTTAATGACAGTTGGTTCAGACATTGGGCCAAATATCGGCTCCAGAGCAGGGTCAGATAAACGTCTTTATCATATAATGGGCAGGTTTCTCGGCAGGATAAAGCCAACGGATAAAAACGATATCCGTTGGGGTCATATGCGGATAGAGATGCAAATATCAAAGGTCAAGTAGGACTACTTTCACTGTTTATAAACAAACATGGCGTCGTCCTCGTCATTCGGCGATCGAGTCAAAATTAACCATCGGGAATCTGGATAAACAACAAGGATAACTGCTATCATTATCAAAAGCACAGTCTAATATACTGAAAATCAGTGTCTAACTGTGACGTAGCTAAGGCATTTTATAAGTTTGGGCTACTTTGGAGGTATAAATTTCGAAACAATTTTGCGAGGGCACGAGGCCTAGCCAAGCGGGATCAGTAGCAATATCTGTGCTTGTAGACCTCTGCGACTTGAAACCTTCTCCACAAATTAAAATAGTTGGATTTGGCCGAAATATGTTTGAATTGTTACCTTGTTTGGTTTTGTCGCTGTGTGTACATCTGACTACACTTCTTAACGTTATGACAGGACAGAACGACTGTCAACAACGTCTGACCGTGCCCGTGACGTCTCATAGACTAGGGTTAGAGTAGCTTCCCTTTGACAAAGGGCAGTTACTCTAGCGGACAGACCGATGGATTGCCGCGAAAGGCAATTAAAAACAACTGTTGTTTTGCGTATATGTTGCTTCGCCACTGTATAAGAAAGAGATTTCAGTTGGAACTATATTGGCTACTGTCACTGTCCGACTGACACATCACTTACCCTGTGACGTAATAAATATTAATGCGCGCATTCCAGGAAAACTCGCAATGTTTCGGTAATGTTTGTGAGAGAGGGATAGCGATTTTAAAGCACAGAATTAAAGCATGACATTATATGATAAAGAGGTTATCACGCTTGTGTGTTTGGGGATGGTAAATATCCTGTATTAGGAATAAACACTATGTATTTAGCTCGCCAAGGCTCGCTAAATACAATGTTTATTCCTAATACAGGATATTTACCATCCCCAAACACACTCGTGTGATAACCTCTATTTATCTGAGTACGGACACAGCTATGGTGGGCAGTGTTTTGTGACAGCACCGATGTCTGGTGGTCCAAAATGCTCAGGCCAAAAAGAGAAAATACTTGTGTTTCTGTTAGAAGTGAAACGATCCAGGTCATGATATGATAAGTTTCACAATACAAATATGATGTAAATATCGCGATATGGATATTTACGTTAAATCACGTTGAAATCTCATGACTATAAATATTTCAGAGCAGGTTCAAAAGGAAAAAGCTAGCTGTAGACATGGTAGACATGTTCGTTGCGGCTATTTTTAGTAATGACCTAATCACAATAAATTTTACGATTTTTGACTGACAAAAATGCTGGGGGTCATTAAATGAGCAGTAATGTATTTTAGCAAGTGTATATTGTCTTATATTGATGCACAAAAAATGTATTGTTTATCGTATCAGCACATGAAAACTCACGCTGCACCAGTGCACCGATGTATCGTTTCATCTCTAACTTCTGGTAACATGTTTATTCCATTGTTTTACTTTGACCCAAATGTTTTTATCACAGCTGGAAACAGCTGTCAAACCCATATTTTACATTTGAAACAATTGGATGTTTCTGCATATTAGCATTGCTGCATCGATTTTGACATGCCAACTTTGGATATATTGCTACTAGCGTCAATGCTAAACAAACCATGTGCTTTAGACATTATTTAAAACAATTACCGTATTCGACGTAATAAGCGCCCTGCTCTAATATGCGCCCACGGCGGTATTTGCTAATATATTGGCAAGTGAACAATCCCAATTAGCACCCCTTCCGATTGATCAATGTACACAAGACTTATTTATTCACGTATAATACGCTCTCGTGTGTTATATGCACCCTTAATTATGGGCAATTAAATTCTAGAAAAATATATCTGTCGTACATAAACCTTTCAGGCTGTCAGCATAAACCACGAAATTTATCTTTCAACTCTGTTTTTTTTTCCAGCAAAATAATATTCTATTAAGAGCCCTCTATTTCTAATTTTGAGAGCGCTCTGGGCGCTTATTACGTCGAATACAGTATTTTAAAACAACCTTCTGACCCATATCTGTTAGGGCCCATTTTACCTGAAACACATGTGTAGAGGATACAATGCACTATTTTGTATCCAACTGTTTGTTTGTTTGTTTGTTTGTTGTTTGACCCTGCGCTCAGCAATATGACATCGGTCTGTAAATAATCGAGTCTGGTCTAGACAGTCCAGTGATTGACATCATGAGCATCAATCCACGCAATTGGGATACGATGGCATGCATCAACTAAGTCAGCGAGCCTGACCACCCGATCCCGTTAGTCACCTCTTACAACAAGCACAGTTCAATGCAATAATTCATGTCCAACTGTATGTGATACAATGCAATATTTTGTATACATTTGTATGTGATACAATGCAATATTTTGTATCCAACTGTATGTGATACAATGCAATATTTTGTATCCTACCTTATGTGATACAATGCAATATTTTGTTTCCAACTGTATGTGATACAATGCAATATTTTGTATCCAACTGTATGTGATACAATGCAATATTTTGTATCCAACTGTATGTGATACAATGCAATATTTTGTGCCAATAAAACCGTGTTGTGTTGAAGAGAAATGACTTATTCAGCTCTATTATTACTGAACTGTCAAGTGATGATAATGAGAGAGTCCAGGCCTCAAAGTTTAAATTTTTGCCAAGTAGCCATATGGCCACAAGTATTTTTTCCCAGGTAGCCAGTGGTAAAATCAAGAAGTCAAGCCAATATTGTAGGTAGCCAAAAGCATTTGAAATGATCTTTTATCAAATATCTATTATAATATGTACAAGTTATAGCACTAGTCTTGGAATTGTATATTAGTGGAAACTGTTCTTGATTTTTGTTACTTGTGACTCGAGCAATGATGCAATTTATGTTACTAGATTATATAGGTATATCCTTGCTTATCCAGTGAGCAGCATAGTCAACACAACTGTATAATAAAGTACTAATTACATTAATATTTATGTATTTTGGTTCATTGTCGACTTTAGGAGGAATTATTAGCGAGTACAATTATTAGCAGACATGTTTTCCAAGATCAGCTGTTATTTATTTTTGTGTCTACAGATGTGTAGCATTAGAATTTAGTTGCCACAAGATATTTTTCAAGGTAGTCATTTGGATACATTTGAATTTTAGCCAGTAGACAAACTGAGATTTAGGTCGCATTGGCGACCGTTTTCGACATCACTTTGAGGCCTGGTGAGCCACATTTTTAGTGTCTTTAAGGATAGGTATGTATGGTATATTGCTGTGTGTAGTGTACCTAGAATTAGGGCGGTTTCAAGGGAACACCCTGTACACAGGGTAGAAGAGTTTTGATGGGTTTTTTCCCCAACACAAAGACATTACCGTGAGGATGTAACACCGAAAATACCATGCCTACTAAAGTACGCAAATTAATCTTGTAAGTACTCTCTCTGGTTATTAAAATGTTCATTGTATATCTGGACTAGTGTCTGTAACCAATTTTATTAATTTTATTCAAAATTTCATTCAATATTCTTTACATTCATTTTGGCGAAAACACGTGTGAAGTGATCAGTAGATCACACAACTCGCCATTATTGACAGCAACTACAGTCAGATTATCGCCATTGACGCCTTGATACGAACTATAGTAGAGAGACAATGGATATTAATATCATTAATGCCATGCTTTGACTCGTTGAAAGTCATATATGTTGTAGTTTGACTATTATATGTCAACTTAAATTTTTTGTGATTGCGATCATGGGAGTATTGACAGTAATTGGTCAAATTGTAACTAAAAATTATCGTCAGCAGTCCTTGTAACACCCAGGCTCCATTGTGTCCCCACTTGTGTCTGATCTTGAGTGCTTACAGAGAAGATTGAGGGAGTTTCTGAATTCCTTGATGTGTTTGACGGGGCACATCAGTGTCCCAGTCATCTAAGGCGCCACAATTGGCTGTCTGGAGTTTCTTCCATTAACCATACTAGAACTATTATCGTGGTTTGAATCCCGGTTCACCCTGATTATGATTCTAGGTTTGTCGGCACCACACCTCCGCTCGTGATACCACATTTGCGCAGTGAATACAAAACCATCCCAGCTGACATCTTTAATGCAGAGGACCTAAAATGGCTTTCTTGTTGACTGTATGTAGCAATGACAAATTATCAGGATTCTGGGTTTAATTGAGACTGGTGAAGCCTCTATTTTATTAATATCATTTAAATACAGCCATAAATGACTTGCAACATCCAAACAAAAAAATGCAACAACAAAAATTTGAAACATGATTTAAAAAAATATATTTCCAAAGGGTTTTATGTATTCAGAACACACCACTGAAGAGGGAAAAAATATGTCAGATTTTTTAATATTGTATTATAAATTCATATAAGAAACGGGGACTGTTTCCAGTCTAGGTTATATTTTGTCACGAGCAGTTCATGGTGACCGGTGACACACTGGGTCATTACAAAGATAAGATCAGAAACAGATGAATCAGGAGAAGATGCATTTAAATTGCTGTTAACTGCCCCTGATCTCCCTCTACAAACATTATTCCAGTTAAGACCCTCAGAGAAATATTGTAGTAATTATGTCTTGCCACTGACTACTTCCAGGAATTCTTGCTAATTAACGGGAAACAAATGCATGCAGATTGTGATAAATGTCTCCTCATGATGATTCCTACGGCTGCTTTCTTCAGCAAACTCCCGACGGCACCCTTCCTCGCCAAGGACCTTTATTGATCGGATTGATCAGGAAATGACATTACAGTTTATCTTCATAAAGTGCAGTAAATCTCAAACGCAATTTCTAATCAATATGGCATTTTGTCAGTGTGAAAACGTCTTCCTTCGCTAATCCGGCTGATTATGATTTCAGACAGTGAATGACCCTTGAGAGAGGCCTGCTCGATGACGGCGTCGTGAAGTCCACATGATCAGGAGACCATGAGTTTCCGCCAGGCCCTGAGATCTCGCTTCAAGGGGGACGTTAAAGCTGAAGAGGATGGGGGGACACTTGTACGGAAAGGGTCGGCCAAACGTCCCAAGACTCTTGCTGACCATAAAGACGGGGAGGAGGTAAGCAGGAGGGGGGGTCATCTTGTGATGACATTTTGTTGTGGGGATGTCTGGGTTTGAAATGTTGTTGCTGCAATCAAATGTGCCATGGGACACTGATGTGATGTATATGTCCTTTGGAACAGATTATGACTTTTCGATGCATTAGCTGTTTTCATAAGTTTGTCACTTTCTATGTGTTTGTCCAGTTTATTTATGTGAAAGTATATTAATTACTGGCATGATATAAATGTGTATAATCTTAAGGTATATTCTAATATGTTTTCTAATTTTTTTGAGTTTAGATACCGGCTGCTTATTTTATAAAATGCCATTATAATTTTTACCGTGATTAGTCACATGATTATTTTGTTTAATGTCAAAAATTATTTAGAACACTATGGTTACACCATAAGTGACAAATTTCTTTTTTACTATACACACATACCTTCTGACTTTATATGTTTGCATAGTGATATAACCTCAGTCAACTTCAGTGGATGCATGACCAGATCGGATTATACGTGTATCTAAATTTATTTTGACAGGAGTACGGTCAAACTTTTCCCAATCAGACATTTTGTACCTCTCTCTTGAGACCTACAGTGGGTACCCGGGTAGGGTCGGGTAATAGGGGGGTGGGTCCCCGGGAAGCAAATTTGGACTCGTCCCAGCCCTAAAATGTGGCACTCTCAATCGTACCTTGACAGTTCAGTGTTAATAGACGTGAAAAAGTCATTTCCTCACATTGCATTGTTTTATTGGACACATAATATTGCATCTTATGCACATACAATTAGATACACCTGCAATTGGACACAAAATATTGCATCGTATACATACACAATTGGACACAAAATATTGCATCGTATACATACACAATTGGACACCAAATATTGCATCGTATACATACACAATTGGACACCAAATATTGCATCGTATACATACACAATTGGACACAAAATATTGCATTATATACTTACACTTGGACACAAAATATTGCATTGTATACTTACACAATTGGACACAAAATATTGCATCGTATACATACAAAATTGGACACAAAATATTGCATCGTATACATACACAATTGGACACAAAATATTGCATTGTATACACATACAATTGGACGCAAAATATTGCATCGTACACACAATCAGTTTACAAATTATTTCCTATGCATGTCTAGTGGTATGCAAGATAATATGGCTGTTTGAATCAATAAATTTATCAAAATTATAGCATGCACTGAACACGTAGCTATTTCTATTCTGGCAAGAAATATGCTCAAAGTTCAGAGTCTCAGTGGACAATTTTCTTCAATATAACACTGAAATATCCATCTATAATTGTAAGTAAGGATAAGAATTTATGTATGAACAACTTCTTTATTACAATTAAGAGCGACGTTTCAGTGTAGGTTCTAACACTGTTATCAAACAAAATATTGCATCGTATACATACATAATTGGACACCAAATATCGCATCGTATACATACACAATTGGACACCAAATATTGCATCGTATACATACACAATTGGACACAAAATATTGCATCGTATACATACACAATTGGACACAAAATATTGCATGGTATACTTACACTTGGACACAAAATATTGCATTGTATACATACACAATTGGACACAAAATATTGCATCGTATACATACAAAATTGGACACAAAATATTGCATCGTATACATACACAATTGGACACAAAATATTGCATTGTATACACATACAATTGGACACAAAATATTGCATCGTACACACAATCAGTTTACAAATTATTTCCTATGCATGTCTAGTGGTATGCAAGATAATATGGCTGTTTGAATCAATAAATTTATCAAAATTATAGCATGCACTGAACACGTAGCTATTTCTATTCTGGCAAGAAATATGCTCAAAGTTCAGAGTCTCAGTGGACAATTTTCTTCAATATAACACTGAAATATCCATCTATAATTGTAAGTAAGGATAAGAATTTATGTATGAACAACTTCTTTATTACAATTAAGAGCGACGTTTCAGTGTAGGTTCTAACACTGTTATCAAACAGGTGTTAGAACCCACACCGAAACGCCGCTCTTAATTGTAATAAAGAAGTTGTTCATCCATAAATTCTTATCCTTACTTAGTACTCCAACTTCTAAATGCCTATCAAAGAAGTTATAATTGTAAGGCTTACTGCCTCCGCACCTTTGATGATATGACATTAGATAAATTCTTGGAAACCTAGTGAAGAGTCAGATGTCACTAATAAATAAGCGTGCGACGCCATATTCTTGGCTCACAGCGACTGAACTTGAATAGATAGACCCTGGTATATAAATCCCTAATTCAAAACCTGTCATCCATGGTGTATAAATCTAATACCATCACATTGTGTCTACCACTATGGAAACATCTGCTTGTTATGCTGTCCAATTAGAGCATCAATGGATGTAGTGGGGGATAATCAATATTTTTACACAATGCTAGCTATTTCCTTATTGTGTATTTAAATTCAAAATGTGTCTGTTATTTCCATAACTAAGTTGTAAATATTTATAAATATGAACTTAGTAGGATAATCATGATCACATTGTCAAATATGAATAAACGATCAATGATGTGGGCATTGGATTATAAGTGACCATGTTGGCTTGTTAAAATGCCATCACACTATGGTGGGAGATGAAATATTTCATTTTGTGTGTGTTTGTGTTTATTTTATGTTTTCAAATGATGCCACAATATTCCAGTCACTGTATTCGACGTAATAAGCACCCAGGGCACTCTCAAAATTAGAAATAGGGGTCTCTTTTACAAATATTATTTTGGTGAAAAAGAAAAGAGTTGAAAGATAGTAAATTTTGTGGTTTATGCTGACAGCCTGAAATGTTTATGTACGACAGATATATTTTTCCAGGATTTAATTGCCCATAATTTAGGGTGCATAAAACACACGAGTGCGTATTATACACGAATAATTAAGTCTTGTGTACATTGATCAATCGGATGGGGTGCTAATTGAGATTGTTCACTTATAAGCCAATATATTAGCAAATATCGTTGTGGGCGCTTATTAGAGCGGGGCGCTTATTACATTGAATAAGGTATATCACAGTAGCATGTCGATAAATGAGGCAAAACAGATCAGTGGTTGATATTATAAGTAACACCCAAACTGTCATCTGACATGCAATCAACAAAGTCGGACACCCGATCCACTTTTAGATGCTTGATTCAACAATCATAGGTTACATGCAAATATATATATTGAAAGTGATTACATGGCTTTTAAATGGCATACTAAGCAAAAAGAAAATTGCATAAACCCCCGAAAATTGGCTTTACCTTTAACTGTTTCCTTATTGACTGTTATAGAATGGGCGGGGCTTAAGTTGTATTTTATTGCGCAGAAGGATGTCACTGATTTTATATCGTCAACATGTTTTTTGGTTAATGATTTTTATATAAACAGCTTATGAAGTTATTATCGTTGATGTATGTATTTAGAAGATATGACTTCAATATGTTTTTTTGTTTTATGGAGTTCTGAATGTAAAAACTTGTGTGCACACACTTTGTGTAAATTCACTTTGCAGATTTTATCAATATGCACCTCGTTATTTATGTTTATGCTTCCATAAATGCATAACATATTGATATCAATTCTTAAATAAATCTACCCTAGAATCCCCTAGGGTATTGCAAGTAGACAAAAATAATCTGAAATGTATATTTATTTATTTTCAAAATGCATGACAGAAATTTCCACACAGAATAGAAAACTGGGAAACCAAGAGTTAAAAAGGCCTGGTTAAGTATAGAATGATCTGCATGAAAATACATTTACCTCCATGCTCAGTCCGGGGGCACGGGTGGCCCAGTCGTCTAAGGCTCTGTGCAGAGTTGCATCCCTTGGGCATGCCAGAAACCTATGATTGTGGGTTTGAATTCCCGGTTCACCCCGATTATGTTTCTAGGTTTGTCAGCACCATACCCTTGCTCGTGGGTTTCACCAAAGTGGTAAACGTCTGAGACCTGCATCACTTCAGGCTTTCCTCCCACATTAAGCTGACACTCCGCGATATAACTGGAATATTGTTAAAAGCGGCGTAAAAAACAACTCACTCACTCACTCACTCACTCACTCACTCTAAAGTACCAAGGCGAGGACAAACCACTATATTTTGATGGTGGCCTCGTGCTGTTTACACTCTCAGAACATGTTTACCCCAATGACTCTTCCATACAGAGAACTTTCAAGGTATACCTTGAAGGCTCGGAGAGTGACAAACTGTCTGATGGTGTATCAGGCCCTCCATATCTACACTCATGGAAATATTATTGGGTGGGGTAAACAAAGTGTGGTAAATAACAGTAACCGTGGTAACAGGCTCTCAGAAAAAAAGCATTCTTTATCAATGCCATGTTTTCATGTGAAACAGCTCTGGATTGTTTGCCTATCGCTGTAAATAAGTTGAATTTACTTTCTTGGAAGAACCACAAAAAGGTGTTCCATAAACCATGATGTTTACAATGGCAAGAGTTGTAAATTGTTTGTTGTGCACAGCCCACAGGTCACTAATCAGGTGAAGTTAAGCAACGTCGGTCTCGGAGAGTAGTTGGATGGGTGACCACGTTAAGCAGCTTGACTCCTGAGAGTTTCTAGGGCTTCGGTCCTGCCCCACACTGAAGCACATGTACCACATGTGGTGTCTCCTTAAGCAAGTGACTTTGTTCAAAATGTGCCTCTGTTCACCCAGCAGTGAGTGGGTACCCGGTAGGATGAGATGGCTGTTAACCTTCTAGCGCCTTACAGGCAGCTTGGGTTGTATACTCCCCAGGGAGCTGAGAATGAAAATCGAGTGCTCACTGATCCATTGACCGGGGTAATAATGGTGTAGTGCTTTGGGCATGAACTGCCACATGGAGGCTAGCGCATTATAAGTGCACATTATTATTAAAACAGACAATTTTGTCCTGTAAAATATTGTTTAAAAAGAAATTAGGCTTGATTATGTTTAT